GCTGCTCTTAGAGCCCTGAGCTGCTGCAGCAATTCGTGCTGCGCTGCTGCCTGCAGCTGCGCTGACCAATGGTCTCAGCAGCAGCAGCAGCTCTGCACCAGCAGGCAGCCCCCAGCTCTTGCTGCAGCTTGCTGCAGCGATTGTGCTGCTGCTGTTTCCCCCGCTGCTGCCTCTAGGACTACTCTGCCTCCCTTACATCGCTACTTACGGCTGCCTGTCTGTTTCTGCTGCTGCTGCTGCTGCTGCTAGTTCTGCTGCTGCTGCTCTTGCTGCTGCTGCCTCTTGTGTCCATACACTTTGTTTCTAGTTCGCCTCCCGCGAGCACTGGCCCCGCAGCTGCGGGCCTCTGCAGCACTCAAGCCAAAATCAAAATTAAGATGCACTGCTGCTGCTGCTGCAGCTGCTCTGCCCCCGCTGCTGCAGATGCAGCCACCGCTGCTGCTGCTGCTGCTGCGGACAAGATTCGCTGCAGCTGCTGCTACAGCCCAAGAGCAGCAGGCGCAGCAAACTGTCCCACAATGCCCTTGCTGCACGGTGGCGAAGAACACAACTCCTCAGGTTTTACTGCTGCTGCTGCTGCAGCAGCTGCTGCAGCAGCAGCAGCAGCAAACTGCCTAGCGCTCATCAACGCGCCCCTTTCAGTTACTCTTAACGTCTCTGCTGCATGCAGCAGATCGACCACTCTAAAGCCCCAATCTCTGCCCGCCCCAGTGCCTTCCCCGCGTGCACTTCTTATCTTGCATGCACTCACTCATCCCCCAATGCATGCATGCATGCATGCATGCATGCAGACAACTGCGCTGCATGCATGCACGCAAGCATGCAAACAAAAGAGACGCATGCATGCATGCATGCATGCATGCATGCATACACCATTGCATGCATACATGCAATTTAGTTGTCACCAGGCAGCTCCCACAGTTTGACGGTTTTGTCCATTGAGGCGGTCAAGATCATTTTTTCGCCTTCTACAAATCTGAGTTTCGAAGCAGCAAAAGAAATAACAGCGGCAGCAAAAGAAATAGCAGCAGCAGCAAAAGAAATAACAGCAGCAGCAAAAGAAATAACCGCAGCAGCAAAAGGAATAGCAGCAGCAGCAAAAGAAATAACAGCAGCAGCAAAAGAATGCAGCAGAGGCAGCAGCAAAAGGAACCCGAGAAGCAGCGGCAAGACGCAAGCCGCAGCAGACGCGTAGTACGCCCGCCGCAGCAGCAAGCGCATGCATGCACGCATGCATGCACGCATGCGTGCGTGCATGCATGCGTTTGCTGCATGCATGCATGCATGCATGCATGCATGCATGCATGCATGCAGCAGCGAGCAACAAGCCGAGTGCCGCGCCCCGCGTCCCAAACCCTCCCCCCCAACCCTAAACCCTAAACCCTAAACCCTAAACCCTTACGCGCAGTCCATGACGGCGTCGGTGTGCCCCTGGAGAGTGGCGACTGGGGCTGCATGCGCTCTGCTTTCGAAGTTGTAAATGTGGACAGCCCCAGAAGAAGTGCATGCAGCAACAAAAAGCCCCGAGTTGTCAAATGCTGCTGCAGTCACGGGGTCTTTGCTGCTGCTGTCGGGGCCCACCTGCAGCGTCTGGAACGCAGCGGACTTCCGCAGGTCCCACAGACGCACCTGCGCGCAAACCCCAAACCCCAAACCCCAAACCCTAAACCCTAAACCCTAAACCCTAAACCCTGCGCGCTGCGCGCTGCAGGCTGGAAGACTCCCCAGTGCTTCCAACGCCGTCCACAAACGCCAAGACCCTCGCTCTCCCGCAAACGCCGCAGACCGCACCCAAACCCTAAACCCTAAACCCTAAACCCTAAACCCTAACTTCCCGTAAACCCTGCGCCCACCGCGAAGCCCCCTCCCCCTAACCCCAAACCCCAAACCCTAAACCCTAAACCCTAGGGCTGCCCACGGTGCCGTCTGCGCTGGCCGTGGCCAGGTAATAGCCGTTTTCCGAAAAGGCCAGTTGGCTTATTTTGTCGGAGTGACCCTGCAGCGCCGCGCGCTGCTCCTGCACCTTCAAGTCCCAAATGTAAACACTCCCGTTGCTGCCTCCGGCCCCCAGGATCATGCCGTCGGGGTGGAAGCCCACGGCCGTGTACTGCGCGCAGCGCACACACCCTGCTGCTGCTGCTGCTGCTGCTGCTGCTGCTGCTGCTGCTGCCGCGGAGGAGCGCGGTTGGCGGCGACGCCACGCTGCTAGCCGCGGCGTTTTGCGCTGCTGCTGCGCACGGGGGTCATAGACTTGCTGCTGCTACTACTGCTGCTGCTGCTGCTGCTGCTGCTGCTGCTGCTGCGTACCTGGCAAGGGAGGTCCCTGTAGACCCCGAGGTAGCGGCCCTCCTGGAAGCCAATGAAGGCCCAAGTCTTGTCAGCAGCAACAGCAGCAAAATAATCTCCCAGGGGGTGCAGCGCAAGAGCTGAAACTTCTCCGCGCTGTTTGCGCAAAGTCGCTCCCAAGGAGTAGGAACTCCTGAAGTCCAAGGACCCCCGCCAAATCCTGCACAACCAGCAGCAGCAGCAGCAACAGCAGTTGAGTGGGCGGCCGGCTGCGCTGCTGCTGCTGCTGCTGCTGCTGCCAGGTGTCTTTGCAGCTCCCGCGTTCCCAGCCCTGTGCCACTGCAGCAAGTTGCACCAAACTGAAGCCCCTGAGCCACCTAAATCAATAAAACTAGTAAATAAATAAATTAATTAATTAATTAATTAATTAATTAACTAAAAAGCAAACAGCGGCGAGCTGCGCGGCCGACTTGACGGTCTTGTCGTCGGAGCCCGAGACCAGCAGCGGCTCCTTCGGGTGCAGCAGGAAGCAGCGACAAGCTTTGCTGTGGGCCTGGACTTTTTCTAATTGTTTTTTATTTTTTAAATCAAAAAAGACAACAGCTCCATCAGCTCCTGAGGAAACGCTGATGACTTCTCCCCTGCCGCCGCCCACGCCGCCCGCCGCTGCAGCGCCGCCTTCGCCCGCTGCTGCTGCAGCAGCAGCAGCGGGAGAGCCCCCCGCAGCAGCAGCTGCTGCTGCGCCTCCCTCCCCGCTGCTGCTGAACACTGCGGCGTGGCGAGCAGCATTTGTGTCTGCTGTCACCCGGTAAACTCCTCTTGCTGCTGCTGAGTGCAGCGGCAGCGACAAAGTGCAGCGGAACTCAGCAGCAGCAGCAGCAGGAGTTACGAAGCCCACTGGCTTCCGCTTCTTCCGCTGGTTCAACAGCTGCCGCGCCAGCGACTGCATCGCCTCCACAAGCTCCTCGCTAATCCCTGCGCAGCAGCAGCAGCAGCAGCAGCAGCAGCGGAATGAGCTGTGGGATGAATTGAGGACGCGCGGGAGAAGCCCGCGTGGACTTGCTGCTGCTGCTGCTGCGTCTGCTGCTGTTGCTGCGTCGGCTGCTGCTGACGAACTCACCGAGGTCTGCTTCTGCGCCGTCTGCTGCAGCAGCAGCGGACCGTTGCAGCTGCAGCACGAGCTGCTGCTGCTGCTGCAGCTGCTGCCTTGCTGCATCTCGCTCCTTAAGCAGCCGCGCAATCACCCTTGTCGCGGCGTCTTGCTGATACAGCGCATGCGCCAGCTGCTTCCTAACCTGAGGAAGCAGCAGCAGCAGCAGCAGCAGC